TTATTCTTGGATCTTTTGTTCACGCATGACTTATGTATCAATACGGAAGTTTGGGCAAGGAAACCCAAGTTCAAATCACTTGGATAGCATTTACATTTTTCATTGATTTTATTTTTAATCTCCATGACATTGGAACTCAAGATTGAACCCCAACATTAACATTATACTTTTGATTTTCTACTTGGTTTCCCTGTTAAATTGGTTGAAGGGTTGTGGGTTAGAACCCCCAAAACCTCTTCCATTTTATTCTTTAAATAAATCTTTTTTTTGGCAAGGCACTGGGAGGTTGTGGGTTCGAACCCCCATAGGCTCCTTATTTTTGTTTTTAATTGTGCTATAGCATTGGGAGGTTGTGGGTTCGAACCCCCACAACCTCTTTTTTTTGTTTTTAATTTCGCTAGAGCCTTGGGAGATTGTGGGTTCAAATGCCCACAACCTCCTTATTTAAATTTATAATTAAAACTCATTATTCTAGGCGTTAGGCAGTGAGGGTGTAGGATCGATCCCCCACAGCCTCACTTCATTTTTTTCTTATTTAAATCGCCTTCTCATTTCCAGCCTTAAGGTCTTGGGTTCGATTCTCACGGCTCACATTTTCCTTTCTTTATTTTAAATTCTTTCACTCGCTGACTAGAGGTTGTTGATTTTATGTCCATGCCTCCTAATTTTTTATTTTAATTCTTATTCTCTTATTACTATCCCAACACACCCCATTTCAATTCCCCCCATCCCCCTTTTCTTTTTCCTTGCTCGCGAAATTCAAGTAGCTAAAGCGTGAGGTCATAGGTTTGAATCCTGGTGGCCTCACCTCTTTAAAATATATTAAATTTCAAAATTTCAACCCCCTTGTTAAAAGAATTATAAAGTACACTAAGCTAGAAATTTTTAATAATTCTTAGCTTCCTTTCATCAACATTTTCATGTTAGTTTTTTAGGGCATTTCACCATACATTTAGTGCATTGTTAGATATAGTCTAATAGTTACATTATTCAAGCGTTTTCACTCAAAATTTGTAACTTCACACACCATATGAACATCACATTATGCAAAACTTCAGCACATGAAATACAAGAATTTACATGCCTTCATACGTCCCAAAACAGAGACTACTTCACTGCCACGCATTGCACACACACATCAACTTTTTCACATGATTTTGAACAACATCATCATTATTCACACAATTTTGAACATGCTACTTAAACATAAACATCACGAAAACACATTTTATCCCTACTTTGTACAAGCAAACATACCCAACCTAAAGTTCAATGGGAGCTAGTGACAGGGACATGCAAAGGGGGAACAATCCTAGTTTTCGGAATGAATATCTTGAATCATAAGGAGTCTCTTGGGAAAGGAACCAAGAGGAAATAAACCTATGCCTTTATTGATGTTCAAACAATGAATTTGCAGCCCAAAACCCTCTCCAACTTAAGTCCAAGCTACCTCAATGTCCACACAACTCAACGAACAACATCTCTTTGCCTTAATGTTTTTGGTTACTTTGTTTTTCTTAAAATTTTATGTGAGTTCTTCCAGTGTGAAGAACCCTTGATATTACTTCTGTTATTTGTTGTTTTTGGCAGAACGAACGTGAGGGAGAGAATGATGAAACATGAGAGAGAGATCGTGAGAGAGTAGTTAATAATAGGAGTTTTTGTTTGGGAATTAGTCAAACTAGGACACCTTATTAATTTAAATAAAAACTGATTTAATTTGCTCAGTGAAAGGACCATTATGCCCTTAAAAAATCAGATTATAAAAAGTAATTACATCACCAACTTGTTGCTTCCAATGGGGCTCCAACTCGGTAGAGTGGCCCTTGTGAAATGGACCATTTCGGGTCAACCTAAGCCGAATAGGTTTTTTAATTAAATTAAATAATTAATTAATTAATTCCTTAAGGTAATTACTATATTACCCTTGGCCTGGAAAAAGACTATTTTACCCCTAGACCCTCAAAACTCAAGATTTCTTCTTTTTAAGTCCGGTAAAGACTCCTTCAATTAAATCTTCGTTTTCGAGAGCCTGTTTTGGTTGTTCTAAACTTTTAAAGCTCAACTAACTCCCTAATTTAGTTGGCTTGGTCGTAGAAAGGGTTCTGAGGTCTGGTTCTACGCGTATCAATTCGTGTCAACCTTGGTCTAATCGTAAACAATCTTGACACCTTAAGTATTTATCCTATTCATTTTTAGGGTTGTTACAGTGAGCGTGTGAAACTCTTTTGAACACAGCTTGAACCTTACCCTTCTTTTGGAAGAAAACTTGTGATAACCTAGACCTTTATTCAACCCCCAGCTATAATCCTCATGACTTTTGATTTAATGAATAGCCAACATAAGATTTTGGATTAAGTTGGGGGTGTGGTGAAAAGGAAAAGGAGAGGTCAAGAAGTGCAAAAAAAGTCTACTCCAACTCATGATGTTGTCAAAAATGGAAACCCTCTATATAAAAAAAAAGCAAAGGAAAGAAAGAACAAGAAAAAGAAAAGAAAAGAATGAATAATATAGTTGAAAAATAAAAGAACAAAAGAAATTTGGGTTTCCATGGAGTAAATAATACGATGACCTAGAAATACTAGAAAAAATTGATAGAAGAAGGTGAATAAATGGAAGTGTTTTGAGCTCCACGATTCATGAAGATCTTTAATCACTAATCTTAAATGGCATGCCTTTGCACTCAGACCAATTACAAGCCCGGAAAAGACCTTTTTGATCTTCCATAAGCCAAACAAAAGTTGATCAGAAAATAAGGGCAAACATATGGGTGAAAACATGCATTGTGTTCCTCTTTTTGAGTGTGAGTGTTGCATGTGATTCCTGATCTTAAAGTGATTAACCCATATGCGTGAATATGGAATCATTCTTTGTGTGAGGGCGTTCCGTTACTATTGTTGAACTTGAACTTGCATTAATAGCAAGTATTGTGAGCATGAGAATCTTCGGTAATGGTGTGTCATAACTTTAGTCTTTGAGTATACAATTGATCTTTGCGTGATTAGTTTGAGTATTGTTCTGTATGTTCATGATTGAGTCTTCTCTAGCAATATTTGATACATCCATATGAATTGTTGAACTAGAGCTTTACTTAAAGACAACCAAAAGTTCAAGTTGGGAGTGTTGATGAGTCCACATATTGGACTTATTCAAGGCTTTTTTTTATACATATAGTGACCTCAAATGCTTATTTAGTCTCAGTATATGATGAAAACTCTTAAGTTTCAAGTATTTGAAGTATTAGTGCAAGCATGGACACCTATGCACAAAAAGGAACAAAAAGGATGAAAAAAATGAAAAACTGAAGCTTGAGCATCACCAAGTACACTTGCGTAATAGCAAAAAGAACGTACTCTAACCTTCGTTCCAGCATACGAAGCCCTGAAGAAAGAGGATCAAAAAGGCGATGGAAGTAGAAGATGATGCTTTGCCAAATAGTTTCGCAAAGCGGTGTTATACCACCCACTGGTCCAGAACATGAAGAAGGGCGAGTCGCCGAGTCATTCGATGATCTTAGATAATCTCGCCGAATGGTCCGCCAAAACACTTAATGTGAAAGCTAAAAATAGTAACCTTAGTTATAATTTTAGATATCCAAACATTATCATACTTTTTCACTTAAGAAATACTATATTCCTTATATTTTCTCTAAAGTGTGCAGAGGGTTTTTGGGACACTTGCAGAAAGAAGAATTTCATCTTTCCAAAGTTGGAAGTGGGTCTTCTCCGTTCAACTTCCTTTGCTTAAATCAAGGTTTGATTTCTTATAGCCATTTGATTTCAATATAATCTTAGGTGTATTTTGTTATTGCTTGATGTGTTGCTAAAAAAATCCTTCTTGGGTTGTGATTTAGCAAATATGAGTTGATATTATTCTTGGGTCTTTCTTGCTTATAGGTTAGATGTATTTTAACGATGATTTCAACTAGTGGTTGTGGTTTAATTTAATGGATGTTTAGTTGCACATACAAATCAACTCATGTGAGAGGGAAGTCGTGAAACTAAGACCGCTAGACTGATGGCATAATGAGTGGATCTACATGAGTTTTAGCCCGAGAGGGTGAGACCTAGTCTCATATCCTAACACTCAGCTCGAAAGAGTTAGAGGGGTAAGACCTAGACTAGCCTTTATGCGGAAAAAAGGTGTTCGAGAGGAACGTATTTTAAATGGGATAAGATTCTCGAGGGAAAAATTTTATTCATCAAAAGATTAACCTGGGGTGTGTTTGGTATGAAGGAAAATGTTTTCTATGGAAAATGTTTTCTAGGAAAACAAGTTGATTTCTAACTTGTTTTCTATGGAAAATGTTTTCTAGGAAAACAAGTTGATTTCTAACTTGTTTTCCTATGTTTGGTTAGAGAGTGGAAAACATTTTCCGGAAAACAATTTCTAGTGTTTGGTTGGTGAGTGAGGAATTCTTTTAGGAAAATAATTTTCTATGCTATTTCACCCCCAACTCCCTCCCCACTAGATCTTGATATTTTTCTATTATTTCTAAACAAACTATCAAATACTAATCCTTTAAAATAAGATCTCTAATTTTGCAATGAATATAAGATATTTTATGTATCAAACTGTCGTTTTAATAAAAAAAAACTTGAAGATAGCGTACCATACATTAGTACATACTTTTAGCTAACACTATACTATACAGACCAATAAATTAAAGGCGAGCAGAATTGCTCATCTCTGTACACCACACACATATTGTGCACAATTGCTCACATTATTGTGCACAATAATTGTTCATCTCTGTACACCACACATATTATTGTGCACAATTGCTCATCTCTATACCATAAGCCTTAGGTACCGTACCATAAGCCTTGAAGTTTTTCACATTATTATGCACTATTTCTCATCTCTGTACACCACACACATATCAAACAGTAAGTTGTAAAAACATATCATAATAATATAATTGTGAATACTTATTTCAATAACACCATTAAATCAACAAACTAACAATTTGTAAACATGTAAAACAACTTTGTCTCAAGCACACTAATCAAATTCAAGCAAAAAGATATCAAGTCCTTTAATAATAGTAGTACTGTATAGAGTTATGTTCTTCCTATTCACTTATATATTCTATTTATGTAGTCGCTTGAACCTTTCCAACCAAACCTTACGAAGATTTTGATTTTTAGCCATGAGAACCTTAGCTAAAGTATCACTTTGTACCAAATAGTCAAAAGCATCCCCTAAGAAATCTTCCCCATAACCTTCAATTGCCATAACTTCTTCATACAAACTTGTCACATCTAATCGGTTATCAGCTATCTTACTTATTGTTGCTACCACTTCTCCAAGTTTTGTTGAAATATCACCAACCACATCTTGCACATTAGAATGACGATTTCTTTTACGACTTGACTTTACTTGAGATGTTTCACTCACATCTTGCACTCCATTCTCCTTAGACGGTCCTTCAATCTCATCTTCATTACCTTTCTCTGAACTACAATCCAAGCCTATATCTTCAAACGACTTAGCACAATCACCCCTAGCTCGATCATTCCCACAAACAAGAGACATTTCTTCAAACATATCAATCTTCTTTTTGATGAACTTATCATGACTAGGATGCGCCTACAATATAAATGACAAAAACATGGTATTAAACAAGAGACATCAACATATAACACAATTGTAACATAAACTTCATGAAATGGAAAAATATAGAACTAAAACACCCCCTCTCTCTTTTCTTCTTTTCCTATAAAACTAAAGCCTCAACTCTTTAATTTCTCACAAACAAAAAAACAGAGTTCAAGTCAAAATTAATAAATAAGATATTTCATGAATATCTTGAATATTCATAGAGTTGCATAAACGACGTCAATACTGATACAACAACATTACCTGAATATGCATTGCATACACTCTGGGACTAGCAGTAATCATCTTCAAGTTGTCATCCCATCCAAGACCACTTTTGTTTAGTAGAGTTTGCACTATATTCCATGTGCTTCTTAGCGTTTTATGGTGATTCTCCACATGCTTTAGAGAACAGTCCATTCCTAGTTGTTCATTAATGGCATTCGAAACACGATTGAATGAGATAACCTTAAACTTATTGGTTGATTTATTTCCCTGCTTCACTTGATCCGCTAAGATCTCCAACATCAAATATTCCATTGGCTTTGACCACCTAAACTGCTTCTCTCCTTTTTTGCCTTTGCTGTTACCAAAAACATTCACACATAAGAAAGACTCCCCCACTCTCCAAGTTGAGGATTTTGTTTAAAAATCTGATTCAAACAGCCACTTTTAAACTAGAAATTAACTTTTTTCATGTGAGAAAAGTAATATCACAATATAGGCAGTCACTCATATAACATTCATAAGAAAGTTTACTTTCGTACTTCCAACATAATGAACAAGTCGGGAGCAGAGTGATTAACATCCATATAAGGAAATGATCACAACCAATATTTAGAGCAATGAACACAATATTCGGATGATATTTTAAATCAATTTCAGCAAAGCGATCCGCAAAGAATAAACATTCAACAGGGAAGTCAAAACTTTGAAGTAGACACTACAAAAACATATTACTCCTAATCTAATCCCATAACTGTTAAAACAAATGACTCTTTGACAACAACAGAAGCAAACAATAATGCAAAGAAATCTATGTCTGCTACTATAGCCAATGGTAAAGTAAACAGCAACAGTGTTAAAAAAAACAGCAAGATACAGTTCACAAAATCAGGACATGTAATAATTAAATCAGGAACTTTGACTTGATAGTTATACCTACTCTTTAAGAACATCTAATTCCTCCTCCTATAATAATTGGTAAACATGGCATGAGCAATGGCATCTCTTTTCGACGACCATTCTCTAGCTACTTCACGTCTCTGTCTTTGGGTTTGATAGCTTTGACTCCCTTGAGAGCTTTGAGTAATTTGAACATTTTGAGGTTGAACTAGTGGTTCCACATCTACTTCTTGAATTATCATGTCGTTAGGATCCAAATTAATTATGTGATTATGTAAAATGCATGAAGCTAACACCACATCCACTTGAGTTTTAAAGTCCCAAAAGGGTTCATTATAAATTACACGGAATAGTCGCTTGAGAATAGCAAAGGCACGTTCAACTGTGGATCTCAATGATGCATGCCGAAGATTGAATAATTCCTTTTCATTTTGGGGTGGACGATCACTATACTCTTGTAAGTGATAGCATACTCCATGATAAGGAGGAATGAATCCCTTACGAAGTCCAAATCCCGCATCTCCAAGATAGAATTTATCTACAAAGTCATGATATAGTTAATTAATATACGTTGTCCACCTAATTTTTTCGATAAAACTACTTTAGATTGAATAAGATACCTTGGGGGATTTGAAACCCATGTGGTCTCTCTAATGCATCATTTAATATGCGAGAGTCATGAGCAGATCCTTCCCAACCAGCTAGTACATACGTGAACTTCAAATTAAAGTTGATGGCAGCCAATACATTTTGTGTTGGTGTGCCTTTTCGACCACGAAATCTACTTTGTTGTTCAATAGGAACGGGTGCAAGCACATGTGTGCCATCTATTACTCCTACACAATTCTATATACAACTTAGTTAATAATATGTACTATTTTTCATAAAATGGTTGAAATTTTAGTATGTCACTTACAGCAAACCATCGATAATATCGATAGTTGTTCCTTATCTCCGATTTAATACTACCATCTGGTGGTTTTATAAGGATAGGGTAGAGCTTCAAAACTGCTTGAAGTACCGTGTGAAAGCATCGATGAATAGATTCGATTGACCGATAGAAGTGTGATCCAATCTTGCGAAATCGTTCATTAAAACCAACGATCTCTAAAAATATTAATACTTGTTCTTGAATAGACATGTTTTTGCTTGAACTCAACAAATTGTTTCTTCTAAGAGCATTGCATAGTTCATAAAACGCATGCTTGCTCATCCTTATTTGTCCTATACAATGAACATCACTTCCATTCAAAATACTATTCATGTAAAATTTCCTTTCTTGATCTTTATTCCTATAAGGTTCTCTAGAAATGCTACTTTGATTTTTATAGGCTCAATAATCGCAACTCCGAAAGCTAAAACAAATGTAGCTATAGCTCAAACTATTGCATCATCTTCATCTTTCTTTGTCATATCCATTTGTTCAAACGACCAATATAACGTAATTGCGTTTATGATATAACAAAGAAAAGAACATAATAAGAAAATATGCCAAAACTTATAGCAACGTCTGATCAATTTTTAGAAAATCAATATCAAAACCAGCAGAGAATTGAAATGCCTTTCCCCCAAATTACCCAATAAAAAGGAAAAAACAAGAAATCTAAAGGGAATACAAAGAATCCATGAAAGGTAGTTTGAATCCTAGTTGCAGCCTATTCTTCCCTAACAGCCTTAAAATCATTAGGAGGAGCTCTAACTACAGCAGCAACAACAGCTGTATAAGCATCATTATTCATTGATGAACAATCAGACCCTTCTGACGCAACACCATTTCTCTGTTTCAAACCCTTAACATCACTCCTCCATATCTTGCATTTCTTAACCACAAACCAGAATCTAAAATCCTATTTCAAATCTACATATCTATGAATAGATAACATTACACACACAACCAAACATACTTGGGTCAAATCCCAGAAAAATATGAAATAATCGAAAGTAATAGGCCACAATTCATAGATTTACCAAAAAATATTGAACCAAATGCATAAATTCACCATATAATGTCAAATTCAAACTCATGAGCAAGTATTTCAGTAAAGAAACAAGTGAAAGATGAATATTTTGAAGAACTTCGCAATAAAAAATGGCACAATTATAATTATTGAAAGCATACCTTCGAATTTCTTACAGAAATATGAATGAGAAGAACAACAATGGGAACCCTAAATTTGGAGAGGAACAAGCTGGAGATATAATAGGGAAACAACCTCCTTTACTACGTTTGAGAGTGGGGATATGCCGAGGGGTGAGATTCACGTCGGCTTCTTTTCTGGAAAATGACTTTCGCTGATTTGTTACGGAAGTCGTTTTCCGCTGATTTTAGGAAAATAAGTCGTTTGGGAAAATGTTTTCCCAATATTTTGTTGCAACCAAACAAAAGAAAATAGGAAAATGTTTTCCTCCATACCAAACACACCCCTAGTCATTATTAATTTTCAAATTTCCTATCGAAATCATGTACCCTGCTGATACCCAATTTATATATTTAATAGTTCAAAATATAATTTTTTAATAATGTTAGATAATTTTATCGATAAATATCCTTATTTGTCAAATTAAGGATTTTTTAAGAAACAATTAGGTCAAAAGCTAAAGGTGGTGGAAAGACTTTTGGGGTAATTTTTTTAGTTTTTTTATTCTTTAATTTTTTGGTGAACAAGTTCACCGAGTTTTGCCGGAATCCGGCGAGTCCACCAAAAAAACCCTTTTCCTCTTAGCCTTTTTCTGGCGAAACCAGCTTCCAACTCCACCTGTAGCAGCAAACGACCAGAACACCTTCCCCTTTTATGTTGTTTCCAGCAATACCCTCGTCCCCCTTCTCATCGTTGCCACTAGACCAACGAACCAGAAACGAAATCAACAGTTATGATGAAAAACCAAGTCCTCACGAGCTTAGCCAAACAAACCTGTATATAAACCCGCGGGAAACCATCACCTCACGCCAGACCCACAACAACCAGACCAAACCCTGCTTCGTTTTTCTCCCTTTTCCGGTGAAAAAGTCGCTGAAAATGACACCAAAATTGCTGTCAGTCCCATTCCTCTTCCCCTTTCATGATTCCTCTTCTATTTTTGCAGTTCATCGACTGAAACCAATGAGCTCGGAACCATGAAACAACCAGCGCTAACAATGGCAGAAATCAATCAGATCTCACAACCACTAGCTCCAAAGTTGGAGCAAACACGAATAACAATCCAAACCAGCACCCTTAAGCTTTAAATTCCAACGAACATCAATGTTTTCATCCAATATCTGGTAGAAATTTCTAACGATTTTATAACTTTTTGATGATTTTGTTCACTTTAAGTGTTTGAACTTTGTGTTTAATTGAAGATTTTGTTAATAGTTTTAGTTGTTTGCAAATTTCCTCGGTTAAGTTTATCTATTTTATTTGTTTCGTTCTTTTGTTGTTATATTTTTGTGGCGTTTTTCTTATCTATATGTATTTGTTAGATTTCAAATTTTAAGATCCGCATATATTCTTTAGTTTTGTTTGATTATTTTGCTTTGACTTGGGTTTTATTTGTTGTTGTCTAAGACATAATTTTATTTATTATGTTATTAACATTTTTTACTATGAAATAATGTAGTGTATAGTATTGTTTGGATTTTCTTTTTTTAAATTATTTTTAATCCTTAGCTTTCTACAGTTAGCTAGGTAGTTTTATTTATGTTTGTTGAAATATATAATGTACCATTTACAATGTTCCATTAATGAATAACACGTTCTGGTTGCTATTGTCTTTCATATTGTTTTAAGTTAATATCAATCTTATATATATCTTTTTCTCTTGATGGTTGTTATTTTTTGTTTTGCTTTATGTATCTATCTTTTGCTAAAACTTTGTTGATTGTATTATTTGGTTAATTTTTTTTACTCCAGGGTTCATGTTCTTTGGTCTTCATTGTTTCACTATTCTACCTTTTAGTTGTTATAATTTTTATACGATAAAATTGGCCAATGAGAAAATCTCTCTGTTGGTTTTGGAGGCTCCCCAATGTTAAAAAACAGAAATTTAGTTTAAGTTCATATATTTTATTTGTTGAAATTGGTCAATGAAGAAATTATCATCGATTTGCAAGGCTTTTCACATTAATAAGACGGGTTTTTATTTTTAAGTTATTATTTGAGTTATTCATTTTTGTTTATATGTATTTAGTACCGACTCTTTTACAAAATGTCTTTACAGGTACGTCGAGTTACTTTCCATCGAAGTTATTAGAATAAAATTCAAAATGCAATTTTATTTATTATTGTATATATTATTGGCGATAAGCAAACTTAGGCCGTCTCTTATTATTGTTTTATTTTGTTATTTGCATATATTGCATGCCTATTTTATTTGTATATTATTGTTATCTCCTCCTCAATTTGAAAAAATAAATTCAATTGCGACCCATATTTGTGGATTTCGAAGGATGCCTAACACCTTCCTTTCGGAATAACCTGAACCCTTACCACAATCAAATGGTTTCGTAGATCACTTAAAAGGCTTCCTAGTTTTTTCCTAAAATTAGGTGGTGACTCCTTTAATATTTGTTTATTCTTTAAAATTGAATCAATTAATAAATTTTGAGTCACCTCGACATTTTGCCCTATTTGAATATAGTAGGGATATAAATAGAATGGCGACTCCGCTGGAAAATATAGAGGTTCTAACCAATATGAAATCATTTTTTCATATTGAGGAAAAAATTCCTTTATTGTGTTATACTTTGTATTTTTTTTGTATTTTTCTGATTATTTGTATATAATAGTTGTTGTTTATTCATTATTCATCTTATAAAATGTATTTGGACATTGAATTTTATGGCATATTTCCGCTAAATAGAAAATAGAATTCACTAGGACAAAGGCGGTTATGTGGCTCTCACGACTGTCCTTCGGAAAACATCTTCGAATTATTTTAAAGTGGTAAATGAATAGTTAGCTTGTGGTCATCCAACATCATTTTTATACTTCATCCCGTAGTTTATCCAACTCGGGTAACCTTGTCTTATCTAAGCCACTCTTAGTCAGCCAGTGTAGAGCAAAGTCAAAACCTCGAATTTTGCGCATTCATTTAAGATGAGTCAACAGTCAAGGCATATTTGTATAAAGACATGCATTTATTTTTTGTATGTTATGTGATATACATGTTTTATATGAATATGTTGTATGATAGTCCTTTGTTTAGAAGTTTCCATAAGATCTTCATAGACATTAATATCAAGTCTCATTTACCTTTTGAGTTGTTTTTGAAAGCTTGAAGGTGATTGCTTATTCAGAGGGATAAGGGATAAGAGAACTTGCAAAAAATGAGTTTTTGGATTTCACAAGAAAATAATAACCATTGAAAAGACAAAACAGGAGAGTCTTTGACTATGAGATCACACTCATCCATTTTTTGTAATGTATTTTGCATGTTGGCCCTGTTTTAATAGATTTCTCATTTTTTGCAGGGAGACCATCCCCGACAACAGTCGAGGATAGTGATAATAATGTATAGTTCTTTTGAATAATTGAGAGTATACACAGTTTGAAGAAACAACCAAGAAACAACGCAACA